GCTCTCCGGTGTCGGCTTTCCCCACTATTTCGGCGGGAACTTTGCACTCCAACTCGCTCAAGGTTGTTTTCAACTCCAAGCAAGTGCCTGGTCCTTTGGTCTCAGCACAAGGAAAATGAGCCACTACGCGAGATGTTTTTAGCTGCCGACCAACCGCCGACAATTGTTGTGCACAAGATCTCAGCGCTCAATGAATTTGTGCCGCCCAGTCTCAAAGGGGAAGAGGCGCAAATTTCCCGAGCGTCCTACCAAGGCAACCACCCCACCATCGCAGCAACAAGTGCCAACGACGTCACCAGCATCGCCAGCGATGACTCAGTCCCTGCCTACGACCAAGGACCCCCCTTCAATCTGGCTTAAGAAAATCAAGGCTCGTCTTTTCCTGTGCCAGCTGAAGATATCCAACTTGAAGAAATTCAAGTTACAACCAAGGCTGACTCTGCCAACGCGTCTCGGCACTGGGCAGTTCCTCTAGCGAATCGCTACGAGCTACTTACCCTGGACGGCGACCAAGGAATACCCGACTACGACGTCAAGGTATTTATTGATCCTCAAACTCTGAGGACTCTGTATGAAGACGCCAAGGCCGAATTTCAAGAAATTGACCAAGCGACTTGCAAACCCCCTTCACGTCGACAACATTTCCAAGGACGATTTAAATTCGCTTCTCAGCGAATTTTGCAAGTCTACCCTGGAAGACTTGCAATACGGCGATGATTTCTCAAAGCCGTGCAAGCGCAACCCTCCTTTTCCGTCTTGCGCTTGAAGACCCTTGTCTTACCGAATTCTGGGTGCAGCACGCGACCCAGCATGCGCTCTGCCGCCTACTTGGTCAAGCAAGACCTGAAGCTTTTCAAGTCGCCGGAAAATGCCTTCCGATTGCGCAAGTCCTTGAAGACTGCTGCTGCCTGTTTGAAGATGCTGAAGGCGACACGTTGTCCCCTGCTGCAGCCCTGGAGCGGATTTGCAAGCAAGAAACGCCGCAATACTCAGCACAAGACCACATCCAGCTCGCCCTCTGGGACTTATATTCGATGGTGGCTGCTCCACCGTGTATTTTGACTCTGTCAAGCTGGCTGCGGCACTCCAAGTCGAAGAACTGGTTTCTATCGACAGCACAAGGCTGCTGCTTTGGTCGGACGACACCCTATCTGACTGGGTATACTCGGACCTTGGCCAAGCAATGATCTCGTCTGCCACTACGGGACCCTTTGCTGCAGCCTTTTCTGACATGGTCAAGTCAAGTATTTGCGCCAGCCCATAATTGGGGGGCTACCTGTGAAAAACACATAAGAAAACTGAACAACATATAGCCAGGGCTGAACAACACAAAGCCAAGACTGAAAAACACATAAGAGCAGTACAACTGTGCAAGAGACG